CCACCACTGGCGCAATCTCGGGTACGAAGCGCTGGCATGGGACGACATCTGGCAGCAGGCGCGACGCCCGGCTCGTCTCCCTCGTCCGCTGTATGCTCATGGCTTCTCCTTTGGCATGCGTGGGTATGGTAAATGACTCGTTGCCTGCACCCCCTTGGCAGGAAACGTTGCCGTTGATGGTGAAAACTGGCTGACACTTGCGCCCGAGTTGCGCGTGCGGACCGCCACGGGGACATGGGCGACTTCCAATCAGAGCCTGCAGCTGTGCGGTCGGTCACAGTCGGCCGATCACGATGCATTGGGGTCATACACCAGTGAGGCCCTGCACTGGTGCGTCCAGAATCAGCAATGGCTCTCCACTTCGGTCCGCCAGTATCCCGACGTGCCTAACATGGTCACGGCCCACGTGATGTTGGACCAGGCTCTGGCCGACACCAACCGATCGCTCGACTATGCCCCGATTTTCGGCTTTCCGGCCCTGGACCTGACTGCGGGCTGCACGCCGGAGCTGGGTTTCCTCTATTGGCATGGGCTGTGGCCCATTCCCCACGCTGGCACAGGTCTCAACTCAACGTTGGCCCACGTGAGCGAGCCCCGTCGGCACGATGGTGCCATTGTTTTCACCCAGCCGTTTGATCGAAATGGAGGCACCCTGCCTGCTTCCGCTGCCTACTCAAGCTTGGTGGTTGGTCCCTTGTCTCACCTCGCCACCACGGTTTTTGAGGTCGATGCTGAGCAACGCCTCGAGTTTGGGCCCCCCAGCCAGATCTCCAGTCTGGATGCCAATTGGACCTTTTCTACCCTCCTCGTTGCTGGTGCGGGCACCACTGCAGCCGTGCATGCTTATGGCGCAGCCCTCAAGGCTTGGCATGGAATGGTCGGCGGCGCAAATGCCGCACGGCTCTCCGATCCCGCCCTGACCCACGTCGGGTTCTGGACGGACAACGGTGCCGGCGACTTTTGGAACGAAGACGGTTTGTTGTCCGACGATCAAACATTGGACATCGATTGATGGCGCCAAGGGGGAAACACAAGAAAGGCTTGCAGCAAAAAAAAACCCGCAGAGGCACGAAGGCGTCCCATGTTGCTCATCTGAACCGTGGCATCTTCTTCGTGGTACAGGAATCAAGGTGTTGCCGCTACCAGAGACGGAGATCCCGCGGGCCGTGCAAATCTTGCACGAACAAGGGCTGACTATACCCTTTGTTCAGTTGGATGGTTGGTGGGTCAACCAGACCACGCTCCAGCCCGATGCTACGCTCTTTCCCTCCGGATGGGCATCCTTTGTTGCAGGGCTTCGCCGCGTGGGCGTCTCCAAATGGTTGTTGTACAAAGCGTTTTTCGCCCCCGACTATGATCTCTTTGCGCGGTACCCAAAGATGCAGTCACCAGCTGGTCCCTGGTATCCCCAACCGAGTGCAGCCCTCGACTTTTTCCGTGACTTTTTCGCTCAGGGCGTGGCCTTGGACATGGCCTCCTTTGAGACCGATTTCATGTCCGATCACCTACTACCTACGCCCCTGCTCTTCACCAGCGGTGACAGTCTAGAAACATATCTGGCCGGGCTTGGTCAGGCGGCCTTGGATGCCGGGGTACGTCCGCTTGCTGGTCTGGGCGCTCGACGAGGGTGCCACAGGCTCCTGGTCCAACCACTTGTGCTCATTACTCATCACCGTCCATTTCATGGCCCGTCACGGCGCAGATTCCCATGCAATGGTGCATGCCCACGGCAGGCGTGGTGCTGGCGGCCGTGAACAAGCCGGCCGTGACCAATGTGCGGGTGAGCGTCGACTATGCCTGTGAGGGACCCTTGAATTTGCCCGTCTCGTGGGCTCCCAATTACATGATTGGCGTCGGGGGACTGCTGGCCGAGGCGGTGGGGGTGGTGCCCAGCAAGGACATTTTTCGCACCCGCAGCCACGTGGAGCACGACTTGCCCGAGTGTGGGTCCGTGCATGACCAACCCAACTTTGAGCTGGACGCCCTGCTTGCTGTCTGGTCCACGGGCCCGGTGGGTGTTGGGGATGGAACCAATTTGACCAACATCACCCTGGCACAGCGCCTGGGTCGCAGTGACGGCGTCGTATTACGGCCTGATCGGCCCGCGACTGCCGTGGACGCCACCTTCGTGCCACCAGCACAGAGCCAAAAGACGCTGCAGCCCTTGGTTGGCTTTTTGCCACTCACCTCTGACGGCGATTGCACCAGCGCGCGGCCTTGCTCGCCCATCCTCTATCAGACGCATGCCAGCTTGCCGCTGAGTTTGGCAGCACCGGGGCGTTCTGGCCTCGACGCCAATTACAGCAATTGGCACTATTTTGTGAGCATTCACCTGGGCTCGTTTGCGCCGGCGCGAAGCGAGGTCTACCCGGTTATGGAGCCCGCTCAGGCCTTTGTCTACTACGAGTTGCGCTGGCGGATGTGCACGGCGGGCCAGAGTGTGGCGGCGCAGCCAGATTGTTTGCAGCACCTCAACGCTTCAGCTACCTGGTTGCCCGATCTTACATCGGGTGAGAAGCGAACGACGGCGGACGGCGGCGATGCGTGGCGAGCTTTTGCCTTTGCACCCGTCCTGGCCTATGACTGGATCTTTCTAGGGGAGCGCACCAAGCTGACGCCTGTTTCGTCGGCCCGAGTGACCGCTGTGGTCCCTTCGGCTGACTGCCTGGTGGTACACCTGGCACCGGGCTCACCGGCCGACTGGATCTTTGACGTCGTTTATCCCAACAGCACGCTGGTCCGGGTTGGCGCTGCCGACTGCGAGCGGCCTGCCGATCAGGCGTGTGCCATATGCCTGTGACGGTTCATGTAATTTCCCAGGGCATGTTTTATAGTTCCGAGAAAACTACTCCAGGTCGTGGTGCATCTGGTCACAACAGCTGTTGTAATTTACTGTTTTGCTCCAGCTTTTGTGAAGGTGAGGAGCAGAGGGAGCGGCTCTCAACAAGCAGAAAGCAGAGAAAGCGATTCCTTGAATTCCCCACTCGAGTTTAATCAGTGAACATTCAAACGGGAATCAGAGACGCCTTTGCTTCGAGCCGTCAAGTCAGAGAGAGCGTCAACGAGAAAGTGAGTCACGTTGCACAGTCAACACACACACACACACCGTCACCAGTATCACCACCAATTTTTTTCTTTTGTTTCCGGCGACAAACGGCAGCGACGTCCGCCTGCTCAGCACCTCGTCCGGGTCCTCGCTGCATTTGTCGGACCGCCTGCTTGACCTTGTTGTTGGGATTGTCCTTGTCTTGGACCACCTGCTTGAACGACAACAGCCTCTGAAAAACCACTCAGCATGAAGGCCTTCTGTGGACCCAAGTGCTCGCACTGCTGCTTTGTGCTCGGCATCTGGGGCATCATCATGCTGGTACGTGTGCCTTGACGGCCGGGTCCCTGGAGCAGGCAGGGGTGTGTTGCTAGAGTTGAGGGTCCGGGCAGTGTTGGTCGCACGTCGTCGTATCCCAGCCAGGCCGTGATATGAGCTTTTTTTTGTTTTCTTTCGCGAGGGGAGCCGCTGTGATGAGTTGTTGCGCGCCGCTCAACCCGCATGCACGCACGCCGCTCATTGCCTGTGCTGCATGCACCGCCCTTGTCCAATGGGCTTGTGTTTTCGATTGGTGACGGTATAGCTGATTCTCGGCGGCCTTTTCAACGCCCACAGCAGAGCTCTGGTGACCGACGCTGGAGGTAACACGTTCAAAGACATGGAGGATGCCGGAACGTAAGTGCTCCAAGTTGTGTTCCCCTCAATGGATGCAAACAGCCACACCTTTCCCCATTCAAGTTTTGCAGGCGTGACAGCGCGAGTCCCTTGTCTTTCTCCGTTCCACACATGCTCTCTTTTTTGCAAGGATGGCCGCATATTTGTGGCCGTTGCTGTCTGCCTTGATGTTCGCCCTTTTCCGTTTGCCGGACACTTTTTGAGTGTTTTTCTCCTGCAAGCTTTGCTGCACCTGTGTCGCTGCACCTGTGTTTCTCGTCATTCCCCCCCTGGTCGTTCTCCTGACCGTACCCGTGTTTGCTCGCGCTTTCTGTTACACCCACCCAACGACCCACGTGCTTTGGCTTCCTCCTGTGCTCACTCGTCACCACACGCACCCTGTCTCCCACACAACCCAGGCAATGCTTCATCGCAGCGGGCGTGTACGTGGCCACAACTCTTATCAGCTTCTGGCAAATGCGCCTCAACAAGGGTGCTTCAAGTGATATCTCTGCCGAAGAGCTCGAGTATGCCAACTACTAAGCTGGCTGATGCATGTCTCCGCCTGGCCTCTCGTCCATCGCCCCCTTTCTTGTCTCTCTAGCCTCTTTGTCTTTTGTGCGCTCTCCTTGCCCGCCCTGCTTCGTGGTCGACTTGCGCCCTCAGGCGGAGCGATTGGTGTAGTCTTTCTTGTGGTCCGCGCTTTGCACCACCTCTGTGTTCACCACACCAACACATTGTCTTTTTATCCTTCTTCAGTCAACAGCTCGTCTGCACGCATGCCCAAGGGTCCCGCTCAGGTAGCCTTCCTTTCTTCGTCTAACCTTGTTCTCTTCTTTTCTTTTCTTTTCTTTTCTTTTCGAGTGGGTGTGTATTTTGAATTTACTTGTCTGCCACCTTGGCTTCCTGGCACATCTCCGCGCACCTGTTGGCATGATGGTGTCTGGGCCTTGCTTTTTATCCAAGAAGACGATTCGCCCGTGAAACTTTCGTCATGATCGTTTTACCAATTGTACGCCCACCAGGAACCGCTCTTTGCCAAAAATAAGGAAGGTCACTGCACAATCACATCATTGGCATCGACCAGCAAGCTTGCCGCCAATTCCTGAGTTTTCATCGTCCCGGGCAAAAGGGCAGCGCGTGATGAGGCGGGGAGTCAGGCTAGGCAGATGTCGTCAAGACCAACGCACAAACACCGATCTGATTCTGGCTCTTCGCACCTTACAAAACTCCTCAAGCAAAATAATGCCGCAGAGTGCGGCGTCTCGTTGGGAACTCACACCATCCCACAACCTGCCATCATGTGCATGCAGATGATGAGAGGGCGTGGCACAATAAACATCACTTTGCTGAACTTCGCTCGGCATTTGAAACGATCAAAGTCAAATCGAAAAAACTTTTGCTGAACAGCAAGTGAGTCCCAGCACCAACTGACTCAAGATCGCGACGCGTTGCGCTCAGACGATTCTCAATCGTCTTGTCCTTGCCCGACCGCAGCATCACGTCCTGGCTCAGTTGCTGCAACACCGTCCACAAGCTCTTGGGGTCATCACTCAGCAGGAATGTGCGCAATGCACGGTGTGGGGTCTAAGGCACAAACCCCCCAACACGCTGTGAATCTATGTCTTCCGACTCAAATTGCAAATTGCGCACGCATTCAAGACGAGCAGCGCCTTGTTGCATTCAATGGCGTCTGCGCGCACCTGAAGGATTTGCGAGTAAATGTCTGTGATGGCAAGCGATGTCCGATAGTCCTGCTGCAGCACCCGCTTCAAGCGCAAATGAAGCATATCTAGCAGCGAGGCAGGTCGGCAGGTGTAGTGCTGTCCCTTGACGCTGATGGGGTCCAAAGTCACGTCCAGCTGGGCATTATCGGGATTCAAGAGCCACGATTCCAGTTCATCGCGCGTGGCTAACATCCACCGCCGACAACGCAGGCAGCGCACCCGCATCTGTCACGCCCACCGCCTTGAATGAGACAAACCAAACGGGCCTGTGCGACAAAGGCAAAAGCATTGGCCGGCTGAGGGCTCTCCAGTCATCCAAACATACCGTGGTTTGGGTGTGCTGCAAATAGGCGGCATAACTTTCGCTGCCATCATCCGTCTTGAGGTGTGTGGGCAAAATGTTCATCAGGCTGTGTCCCAGGATTGCCGTCAGTCACGCACGTAGAATGGCAGTGTGGGGCAAGATCACGTCCAAGGCTCTCAACTTGGCTTGGCTTGTACACGTACCGATCAACCCAGACGCGCGCAGCGCGATTGCGTTCGGCTGCCTCATCAGACGAAGGCGACGAGGCAGACGTGGAATCCGTTGCAGTGGGGGGTTCGGCAGATGGCAGCAGGTCCTTGGCCAGTAATTGCTGGTAGACCAGCTCATGGCCAGAGCGAAGCAGGCTTGCCACAAGGTTGAGCGTGGCCAGGCTCAAGTCATCAGACATGTCATCGCAGCGCGCGATCAAGCGCGAACGCAGCTGCTCGGTCAGCTGCAGCTCGTCGGCCGAGCACTCGAATGTGTAGGCTGCCATCACCTTGCTGTCCTCCAGCTCGACAAAAACATCGTCCCCTCCATCAATACCCTTGGAGCCACCTTGGTCTGTCGTGGAGACTGGTAGCATGATGCCCTCCGCTTCCACTTGTGCCACGGTCACATCTTGCGCCAGTGGCTGGGTCGTGTCAGCACTCACCAAAAACACCACAAAGGCTGGACGACACGCGGCCAAAGCCCACCGACACAAACACCCACCCATACGTGCAGGCGTGAGTATGTATCAGCCGCGAAACATTGCGGCTGGCTTTCAGATAACCCCCCTCTTACCTCGAAGTAGGATAGAAGAACGAAGTTGCGTGATGCACGCATGGATGTACTTGGTGGCGACCCAAGCCACGTCCTCTGATGCCTACAGCAGTCAGGCACGCAGCAGGTCGTCACAAAGGGACTGATCTGCAGTGGCAAGGTGTGTTTTGCTGAGTGTGCCTTGCATACGAACCTGAAGGAGCTTCTTTGCCACCACTGCAAGCAGCGCTCGTTTGAGGACGGCAGCAGAGAGAGCCTGGAGCAAAGCGCCATAAAGATGAGGATGCGATGACCTTCAAAAATTCCTTTTGCTTTTTTTTTTCACACGGGGATTTGCACGGTTGCAGTGTTTGATGGACAAACCTGAGCAAACTTGGCGTCAAGATTGCACAAGGTATCAAGGTAGTTGAGCCAGTTCAGAAAGTGGTGGAGGGCCTTGGCGTCCTGGTGTCGTGGTGGATCGCGGTTACAAGCGCGCAAGTGCTCCCGCCAATGAGGCAATTTTCCCGAACTGTGCCCGGCCAATGTCAAATGGCGTTCCATTGGCAAGGTGAGGCATGCCCTTGTAGATGCGAGGCAATAGAGCACCGGCGTGGAGCATGGGGCGGATACCTCAAATTGGCTAGCTCCAAGCTCAAAGAGGGACTGGCATCAGCTGGGTTGATGGGTAGCTCTACATATAGTTCCACAAGGTGATCCGCCTGCAAATTGGGTCCCATCGCGACGAAGGAATGAGCGCCCTACGGCAGGAGCAGCAGGGGTGGCAGGGGTGGCAGTGCGCGTGTCATGCGTAGCGCAATCGCACCAGTTGGTTGCAGGCAGAGCTGGCCAGAATGGCATCGAGAACGGGTTCAGAGCCTCGGGCCAGGCACACTTGTAAAGCCTCACGCGCAAGGCGCGTCGTTGTCTAAGGTACGGCAGCGGTGAGAGTGAGTTGAGCAAGCGCAGTCGACACGAGCATGGCAAGGTGTGGCCTTGCTGCAGTCAAGGGTGCGCGCTTACATATTGACGAGACCGAATGAGTGAGAGCGCGGCTCAGCCAGAACG